ATTAGGTTAGTTTAGAATAAATTATCGCTTTTATCAAAAATCCATATTAGGCATCTAAGTGAGTACCATGATACAGGTATTACAAAAAATGAGTCATTCTATAGTGAGGGCCTTATATATGGCCCTTAAGTGAGGTCCTATCTCTTAATCGTTAGATTAAACTAATTAATTTATGCCTCACATAAAAGCTATATACAATGCCCTCACTATAGAATTCTTGTACCAAAAAGAAGAAAGAAAAAAGAAAGTTTTAAAGGAAGTTGAGCTTCGGCAGCTTTACGTGGGTGTGTATATAAAAGTTGACGACCCACTAATGGATTATGGATGGTCCAATGCTTTAGAAAATGTTTTGGTGGATCTTTCTCAAGCAGTGTGGGTAGTGCAATTTTGTAAAAGGCTGCAAAATGAGCATGCGGCATGTCCAATATAATGAAGGAATGAATTGGAAGCTCAAGGAATATCTACCCACCACCACTACTAAGTTAGGATTTTAAGTTGGTTTCTTTAAGGCTACTTTTTGGGGGTAAAAGAGCTTGAGACAAAGCTTGCATGTTATGCTATGGGGTTTTTGTTTTTTATTTTTATTTTTTATATAAGCGATATTGGAAGGGGGTAAAATGTGGAGCCAGAAGCACTGCTTTCCCGAAAATTTGAGATGTTAAGGTGGGTTGGGCCTCCAAATGGTTCGGGTCTTACGTTCGTGGGAATATATATGGGCTTTATTTTCTTGAAGTCTACCAACATAACCCTAAACAAATTTAGGAAAATATGTGTATGCATGGTTTTTATCCTTCTCAAAACCATTCATAAAAATTTACAAATGCAGTAGAGGATCTGGGAATTCAAACCATAAATGCAGTTCCCTATGGAGAACTGAAAATGCAGGGGTGATCTTTGGTTCCAGGAATAAATAGTGAAACCATTCTTCAACGAAATGCTCACAGAGCTTCTAAACCAATGATTATCCCCTCTTTCCCTAATAACGAACATAAGACATCTAAAGCAAATGAAGCAATGCTTTTACTATCTAAACTATCAACTCTCACTCACATCACATACCGATGCTCAAATGAATTATACCACAAATCCTTTCCCTAGCATAGGTCAGTAGCAACACAAGCACATTAATTATTTCCCTCTCTTTTCAACTTCTGACATGTCTAACAAGAGAACGTTTCGTAAACATAAGCAGCACGCACGCAGGCACACAGTCCTACACTACATATATATGTCCATGATTTTCTCATATTATAATCCTCTGAGATGAATGCCAGACTTTGTGCTAGGACCACCAACACAGTGTTTCTTTTCAAACCCAATTCACTCAAAACCAGTAAGAGTTTGCACATCTAACACCAAAATCAATTGACAATGCAGCTGCAATTGCCTCGTCTAAGCCTATCGGAACCATCAGTGGAAAGAAAGATGCAAAAATGAGTAGAATGAAAGTTAAACGCAAACAATGTAATCACACCATGTGTCAAACAACATAAAGTTCAAACTTGCTCCAAAACTATATTCTCAGGACAAAATGTAGTTAAAACCTAGGAATCCTCAGTAGATGGTTGGTTCACACCAACCTTCTCCAACAACTTACTTAAAGATGCAGGTGGACAAACTTGATACTTCACTTTCCCAGAAGGTGAGCGGAAAACCTCAGCCAATTCAAGCTTCTCTGGATGTTAAATAAGCATTTTTGAATGGTGTGCTTGAAGAGGAAGTATATGTGGATCAACCGGATGGTTTTGTGGTTGAAGAGGCTGAAGATAAAGTGTATAGATTAAGAAAGGCTCTTTATGGTCTAAAACAAGCACCAAGGGCCTGGTATAGTGAGATTGATACATATCTCATTCACTGTGGTTTTCATAGAAGCTCAAGTGAAGCAACTCTATATGTGAGAAACAAAGAAGGAATTGGTGTCTTGATAGTATCAATCTATGTAGATGATATAGTCTACACAGGGAGTAGTACAAGAATGATGGAAGAGTTTAAAACAGAGATGATGTGCAAGTATGAAATGTCAGACTTGGGTTTACTTCACCACTTTCTTGGAATGAGGGTAACTCAAACTGAAGGGAGTATTTTTATACATCAGAAAAAGTATGCTCTCACTCTCTTGGATAAATTTGGGCTCAAGGATTGCAAATCAGTGAGCACTCCATTGGTTGCCATTGATAAATTGCAAAGAGAGGATGTAAGTGAAGTTGCAGATGAAAGTCTGTACAGGAAAATTGTTGGAAGTCTTTTATATTTAACAGCAACCAGGCCAGACATTATGTTCTCTGCTAGCCTGCTTGCACGGTTTATGCATAAGCCCTCAAAGAAGCATTATGGAGCTGCTAAAAGGGTTCTAAGATACATCCAAGGAACAATTGACTTTGGGATTGAATATGTGGTTGGTAAATCTGCCCTGTTGATTGGTTATTGTGATAGTGACTGGAGTGGATCTGAAGAGGACATGAAAAGCACCTCAGAGTATGCCTTTTCATTTGGAAGTGGTGCTTTCTCATGGGCTTCGGTCAAGCAACATAGTGTAGCACTGTCAACTGCAGAAGAAGAGTATGTAAGTGCAGCTGAAGCAACCTCACAGGCCATTTGGCTTAGATTTGTGCTTAAGGACTTTGGAGAAGAACAAGCTATTGCAACTACCCTATTTTGTGACAACACTTCAGCCATAGCCATGTCTAAAACCCCTGTATTTCACCAAAGAAGCAAGCATATTCGTAGGAAGTTTCATTTCATCAGAGATGCAAATCAAGAAGGTGTGATTGATTTGGTCTACTGCAAAGGTGAGGAACAGATTGCTGATATTTTCACCAAGGCTCTTCCCAAAGACAGATTCAGCTATTTGAGAAGCCTACTTGGTGTGAAATCAGTTAGCAATTTAGAAGGGAGTGTTGAAAAGTAAATTGCTTACTAATTTCCCATTAGTAAATGATTTACTTAACATAGTTTACTTCTTTTATTTCAGATGAGTGTTAGATAGGCTAACTTGAGCTCATATGCCAAGTGTAAGGTCTTAGATCAGTTCTCTTATTACCAACGGCTTACATGCCTTGTACTGCCATGTGTCATAATCACATTGGCTCTTGTATTTGAATGGTGATGATTACTGATGTAAGGAAAAGAACGAATATGAATAGAAAAGCATGACCTCTGTAACTGTTAGAATGTTGCAATGAGAATTTTCATCTCTCTTTGAGCTGACTCTCTCTCTTTCTTTTCTCTGTGCACTTTCTCTACTCCCTTCATAATCCAATTCTCAACACTCAAGGTCTTGCTCTATCTCATACAAAATACGCCTATGATCTTCTTCAACGGACTGACTTTCTAGGTGCCAAACCTTGTTCAACACCCTTGGGCTCTTCTAAGTTGGATCTTGATAGTCTAGAGCTTTATGACCCCACCTTTTATCGTTCTACCGTTGGGGCACTTCAGTATCTTACTTGGACCAGACCTGATTTAGTTTTTGCTGTCAATCAGGTCTGTCAACACATGCATAACCCCAGAGAATCTCATTTACTTGCTGTAAAGAGGATCCTAAGGTATCTTAAAGGCACTCTTCATCTTGGTCTTTGGATTAGAAAGGGCCAGCCACTTCTTCAAGCTTTTTCTGATGCAGATTGGGCAGGTTGCCCTATTGATCGACATTCTACCAGTGGTCTCTGTGTTTTCCTCAACCCCAATCTTCTCTCTTGGTCTACCTACAGTTGCTAGAAGCTCCACTGAAGCTGAGTATCGAAGTGTTGCCTTGGCTGCTGCTGAAATGGTTTATATAGCTAAATTGTTTAAAGACATTGGCTTCATTCTAGGCACTCCTCCTCTTCTCTGGGTGGACAATCAATCTGCTATTTCTTTGGCTTCTAATCTTGTGTTTCATGCTAGGACTAAACACGTGGAAGTTGATTATCACTTCACACGAGAACTGGTGCAAAATAGTTCTCTTAAACTTCACTATGTTTCTTATTCTAATCAGCTTCCTGACATTTTTACAAATTCTCTCTTCCTCTTGATTTGTGTATCTTCGATCCAAGCTTTCAGTTTGTGACACTACCTTCAGCTTGAGGGGGGCTGATAGAGATATCTCCACATCTAATCCTAGTCTTTCATCACAGAGTTGTTAATTTTTGTTTAGCTTTACTTTGACAAACTGTACAGCTGTCATTTGTACAGCTATATTATTACAGCTGTATATAAACAATTCAATGTAATCATTATTGTTTAATGAAATGAAAATACAATTTTAGTTTTCTCACAAAATATTGAAGGAGAATTAGAAAGTGGAAAGGTCAAAGTAGAGGATTACTGTCAGGACTTTTTGGGCCTGAGGAGAGAGAGAGTATTGAAGTTGACAATGAGTAAGAGATTCTTTGATATTAGCAAAACTAACATGACAAAATATGCCAAATGTTGAGATTTTGGGTGATTGATTTTGAAATTAAAATGTTGTGGTGGTGATGTTGTCGAAAATGTTAGGTGAGAATTACATATCATTTACCTTTCGTTCATTTTCTAGCCATCTCTAAATTGTCTATATATCATGTGAGCCCTAATCTTTTTTTTAGAAGAAGATAAATTCCATTAATATCCCGAGAGCATTACATGTAAAACTATTGAGTGATGGGGGCCATTGCATTATTCCCCTTTGGATTTATGCATGCAGGAGGAGCTAGTAGGCTTGGTGTTTATGGGTAGAATTGACATTATTGGACAACCTTAGGTGTGTATATATAGGAAAACGTCCAAAATCCATAATAAAGCTGGGGACGTACGTGGTGGTGCATGCATGTGGTAGTTGATGTTGATATTTTATTCCCCCCTAAAGTATTACAAACGAATGCTGACAAAAAATAACTCAAAACCAGTGCACACTCACGTCACGTGCTTCTGCAAACACAAACTAGTAAGCAATTCACAGAGATACGGACATAGCCACAGAGGGGGAGCAGATCGATGTAAATTATTAAGTTCTTCTTTAAGCTCAAAAACTCAGCACCAAAATAGAGCAAAACATTCACATTAATTTCATCAAAATTAACATGACTTAATAATTAATATTACCACAGTACGTATATCGATCTGATACACTATCAGATAAACAAAAACAAAACAACAAATTACGACAGAAATTGATCCCTCAAGAAGTAGTTTTTACTTCCAAGCTTTCACATGCTATTAATTATTAGCTGACACATATTATGCTAATTAATTAAACCACAGTGAATTGGGAAATTTAGGACTGTGCTGTGATGATGATCAACTTCAACTATGCAGGGCACTGGAATCCAGAGGGTGGAGTTTTCCCACAGTCAATCAGAACCTGAAGAGCGATGGGGAGGATGATGTTGATGTTGAGAAGCTTAAGCTTGATGGTGGTGCAAAGGCAAATGGCAGCATCCAAGTCCACCAGCCCTTGAAGCACTGGACAGCATGCATCCTTGGCACTGCTGCCAATTCCAATGTGAATGAGGCCACCCAACACATCCACACAACCTCCCAACTTGATAGTGTCGATGGGACACGTGTCCTTTGGTGGTGGTGATGGGGTTGGCACTGGTGGTGGTGGAGGAGGGCATGGTGTCTCAGTGGGTGGAGGAGGCTTAACTGGTACAACTGGGGTAGGTGTTGGTGTTGGTGGGCTTGGTGGTACAACTGGGGTAGGTGTTGGTGTTGGTGGGCTTGGTGGTACAACTGGGGTAGGTGTTGGTGTTGGTGGGCTTGGTGGTACAACTGGGGTAGGTGTTGGTGTTGGTGGGCTTGGTGGTACAACTGGGGTAGGTGTTGGTGTTGGTGGGCTTGGTGGTACAACTGGGGTAGGTGTTGGTGTTGGTGGGCTTGGTGGTACAACTGGGGTAGGTGTTGGTGTTGGTGGGCTTGGTGGTACAACTGGGGTAGGTGTTGGTGTTGGTGGGCTTGGTGGTACAACTGGGGTAGGTGTTGGTGTTGGTGGGCTTGGTGGTACAACTGGGGTAGGTGTTGGTGTTGGTGGGCTTGGTGGTACAACTGGGGTAGGTGTTGGTGTTGGTGGGCTTGGTGGTACAACTGGGGTAGGTGTTGGTGTTGGTGGGCTTGGTGGTACAACTGGGGTAGGTGTTGGTGTTGGTGGGCTTGGTGGTACAACAGGTGGTGATGGTGGTGGTTTGGGGACATATGGTGGAGGTTGTACAACTGGGGGTTTGGGGACAAACGGTGGGGGTTGTACGACTGGGGGCTTGGGTACATAGGTTTAGGGATGAAGGGTGGCTTTACATGAGGAGGCTGTTTGGGTGGCAAGTGTGGAGGGTATGTTGGTGGTGGACAGTAGGAGTTAGCAAGAGAAGTGAGCAAACTACCCAAATTCACAATGAGGACTAAGAGCAAAGCCAGGGTATAATTCGCCATGTTCAAAACTCCACAACCCTCAAAAGAGTTGGGTTGTACAAGACTGGATATTGAAACCCAACACCATGCAAAAGACTTCTTATAGAGATATGGTGAGACAAGTTGTGAGTGAGTATGTACATGAGAGAGACACACAGAGAGAGAGAGAGAGAGAGAGAGAGAGAGAGAGAGAGAGAGGGAGTAAAAACACAATCCTGTACCTTTCTTTGTGGTACCAACTAAAGATATATAAAACTATTAATCTCTGTGCATAATTAATTAATTTGTCAAATTGTCAAGATGCACATTGAATTGAGGTCTCTCTAAACTCCAAACTCCAAACTCCAACTTGATCAGTATCAAATTCACCACAAACAAAAAGGAGGAATTGAGTCACTTCCTTCCTTTACATTCAGAACCAAGTAGGGCACTGCAATCACTGACTTAATCTGTAGCCAAAAGTATTCAGCTTTTTTAAGGAGAAAAGGATCAACAAAACGCGGTTTTGTGATAGAGGCAAGTTTTAACATGTAGTGAGAGCCTAGCAAGTGACTATTGAACCCGTGATTGGGGTTTTGATACCCAAGCCACATGTGAGGCTTTCACAAACAACATTTTCTTGCATTAAAAAACTCTCTAAGGGGACAAAAGAGGCCTTAGACTTTTTCTACTTAAAGCATATGGGTTTTCCTTTTTTCATTTTTTGGAGGTTTTCTCCCGAATAGACTAGTCCATTAATGCTACAATTTCTTAGTCTAAGAACCATTCCTATATGAATAGACTCGTACAATTGTATTTGAGTGTCGGCTATCTTAATTAATTAATTTTTTATAAAAGCAATATTCTATTTCAATCTTTTCTAAACTATATGAAGGGATTCCGAATTCAAATACAAAATGGGAAGCGCATTCGTTTTAGTCAATTTAACTAAGTCCATGTGTGCAATTATTTTTTCCAATTTAACTTGCTTGCTTTGCTGCATGCAATTTCAATTCAAAAAAAGTATACGCATGGCCTAGACATCATGTCTTTCAAATCAACTGCTCATCTTTTTAAAACGAGGATATGCTGGTTTCACATGCAGCTACACAAGAATTTCAAGAAATTATTAATCAAACCTAGCATTGTTAGCAAGACATTAGGGCTGTAATTATGTGAAAATTGATGTTTGCCAAATCAATTATATAGAAAGGACCTACTGCAAAACAACTTCGTGTGGAACCCATCTACTTTGTTCTTTGTTTTTTTTTAGGTCTGGAGTCCATCTACTTGTTCACTCCACGCCATTGAAGTGTAGTCTATCTAAAATGGTAAGGGTGCCCTAGTTTAGGCGTAAGTACAATGCGCTGGGTTTTGGGTTTTGGGTTTTTCTTTGTTGACAAAAACATTGTACTATCTAAATCATAATATATCATATCTACATTGTTCTGACTATTGAAAAATTAGACAAAGGGGTAATGATTCTTATGCCAAAATGAATTTCAACATCACTTTCGACCGACAGAATTTCATTTGCTTATATTGAAGCTCATATTAAATTTTATAAATTTTAACAAAATTAGAATATGTCATCTTTCACGCCATTTGGTGAATAAGATTTTTAAGAAATCTTTCGGTGCCTATACAATATTAAGGCATCAAATAGTGCAAATCATGACATCTTATTTCAATGTTCATTAACAGACCTTCATATACAATCAAAGGCATCGGATGCAAGTAGGGTAGTAGATTTTTTTCCCTTTCTCAACCCAATTATATGTGGAACACAAATAACACCCCTTTTAATCATTCAATCTAAAAGGGTATATGCAACAGCTGGCCAAGAGGTATATTCCACGTACACAAAATGTTAATTTCAACTACATGCCAATATTTATACAGCGAAATTTCCAAATTTCAAATTCCAATTAAACATGCAAAAGGGGAATGAAATGTGATGTGATGTACTAGCTGTAGTGTCTGTTTGGATAGAAAGAAAAGAAAAGAAAATTCATTTCTGAGAGAAACCAGAAATTGAGTTTGTCGTCCTTATTATTTTCGAAGTGTCGCAATCAAGTTTTTTTGATCTATTGATGAGTCATCCATTGTAGAAGAAGTGGCATCCATCAAAACCTGCCACCATTAAAATCCATGCAAATCCATTTGTTAAAATGATATGGAGTCACTTGTGCAAAGCGACATATAAATTTATAAAGGGAGATAAAGCCGATGTAATATATGTAGGGTCAGGCTAAGACAACTTTGTCCCCAAATCTTTTACCAAATCTAAACCAACACTAATTATTATTGCTCACTACATCAAGTAAGAAAGATAAATAGTATTTTTGGTGTGAAGGCGTAAACATATCTGTGGATTCTTATTATTTCGGTGGGAGCTTACAGCTTAGCATAATAACCTCACTTCATATAAGAATTATTTCCAATCTGAGGTCTAAATCTTTTAAGAAAAAATGAAAATGGCTTTGTAGGTTCAAATCAAAATCCAACGTGCTGACAGACACGAACTTAGCCAAATTGGCTAGATTGGATGTGCTCCTCTCACTCTGCACTCGATTTCAAATCCCCCTCCTCATTAGATCAAAGTAAAACATCACTTGAATATATGTAGAAAAAAGAAAAGCAATATGCAGCTGTATGCAGAAGATTTGGTTGAATAATTGCTCAATATAAAATAATAGGTAAAGTACCTTGATTATCTTTTCTCCAACAACCCTGTTCCCTATATCGGCCCATTGTTTATATCATAATCAATCAATTAATTGATTAACATCACCAAATTCTTGATGCCTTCAGCAAAGACACGATATTTTCTACCAAACATTTAGTTTGTCGTTTGAAGAAAAAGAAGAAGAAAAAAAAAACCATTTAGTTTGTCAAATCATATCTATATAGTATGCGTGTGTTGTGTATCCAATGCTCTGCAGTTGTCAAGCTCAATTAATTTCTTATATCATTTTATTGCTTGGAAGTCGAAACTATATATTATAATTATATAATGACGATTTATATTAAAAACTATATAAGAATGGGCAAAATTTGGACGTACTTGGATCAACTGTAACAATCATGGCAGTCCCTCCAAAATCACAATTGCCACCAGCGGCCTTGGTGCTCTGCCAGTAGCTGTTGAAGGCGTACGAAGCATGGGACAACAATGTGTCTGGTTTATAGCAGGACCCATTGGGCTGGATTGACTTGCAGTCTGCACCAGACCCACACGCATAGTCCAGGGCCTCTTGGACGATTGGGCCAGGCACTGCTGGCTTAGCCACACACCACACCGCCCCAGACTGTGGTGGCTTTTTCTGTGGAGGGCCTGATGGTGGAGGGTAAGCTACAGGTGGGGCCAAGGCTGGTGGCCCTGAGACAGGCTTGGGTGGGGGGGATAGAGGATTTTTGGGTGGGCTTGGAATTGTGGTGGATGGGCCAGGTGGGTGAGGGGTGGGCCCATTTGCAGGTGGCGGTTTTGGGATGGGTGAGCAAGTGGGTGCAGATGATGAAGGGGAGGAGGAAGATGAAGGAGTATTTGGTTGAGGTGGGTTTTGGGAAAATGGTGGATTTGCACAGTATGGAGGAAGAGGGACATTTCCAGGCAAGGGAAGTGGTGCCAGTGAATCAAAGGGTGGGAAAGAGAAGGGAGGGCTTACCTCTAGTGGCTTAACATTTGAGGAAGGCAATGGTAAGTCTAACTCTAAGTGATTTATTGCTTTCAGCTTCTTCTCTAATTCTGTGTCTTGGGATTTTAAGAATTGTGCAAAAATTCTTGCATCTGCTCTAAAACAAAGTCACACAATAAGTTGTTAAAATTGTTCAAGTAGTGTGTCTTTGGAAAACCCAAATAAATAAATTCTTGCTTACCACATAAAATGGAGAAAGTTGTGAATGAAATGGAGATGATGGCTAATCTCATGTAAGACATTGTGGGCTGCATCTCTTGAAAAACCAATGTGATCAAATCCAAAATACCCAGAAGAAGCTGACTGAAAATTTTGTGCTTATTTAATTCACCTCTCAAGCAAACACTTGGGATAAGTATATATAGGCAGCTGCTTAGGCAGGCCAGAGATGTATGGGAGTGGTACCAAAAGGGGGTGGCCATAAAGGAAAATTATCAACATAGAGAGACTAAAGGAGATTCCTCTGTCACAACTTTGTAGCCTAAGACTCAAAAATAGTGTAAGATATACAACATGCAGAGGATAAAGGTGAGGGAGAGAGAGACTAGAGAGTGTTGGTTTTGGAGAGGTGAACAAGAAACTTTTCTCCCTTTTGCATCTCCCTTTGAATATATTCTTGCTTGGCGGTGGAGAAATATGAACAGTGGAGTTTTCTGCACTTTTATTTTGCTTGCTATCCACTCAAAGAGAAACAAACTTCCATTCTCTCTCTCTCTCTCTCTCTGTGCATATCAGGTTCTACATTTCTCAGGAAGCTATTAACTTGTTATTAATGGTTTATTGGGATTAATATTCCAAAATAGTTTAACATCCTTTCCTGCCTTAGCAATCATATTTCACACACTAATGCATGTTTTTCAGCTTGATGTGGTATGAGTTGAACTTCAATATTACAGAACTCTTGGTTCATGCTCATCACTGAACCTGAAACCTAGGAGTTTTTGTTTGGGAATGTAACCAGGAAGGTCAAAATATACCAAACTTGGGAACAAGAGAGCTGCATATATAACACTTTTGCTCATCATCAAAGCTAAATGTGTCATCGTAGTTTGAGCATATTTCTTACTCTATATATTTCATTGCAGACACATAAGACTTTCAGTTTTAACTAACAACACCTGAAAGCCCACATGAACTCCTTTGCTAGAATTTGCTGAAAAAGAAATTGTAATCTTCATTAAGCAGGCTTACATAGGTAAATAAATTGTGTAGCTCTTTTTCTTGTTATTAACTGTTAAATTAAAATCTCCATGTCGTCCTGTTTTTTTTTTTTTTTTTTTCCTGTTTGGCAACACCACCTTGCCATCCATAAACTATAACTATTCTCCCTAAGGGAATTTTACTAGGAAATTACCCATCTGGTATGTAAATCATGTTTCAGAGTTCACATTTAAACACAACCTTTAAACTTGGACAATAAATTATAGGACCGTTGCCAACGACCCTGTGCCATCTATAACAAGTGAGGTTTGAACTATTCTTGAATTTAGAAAGTTCCATTACTTAGCATGTAAGTTATGTTTCAGAGTTCAATTGGAAAAAATTATGCTATCGTTGGCAACGGTCCCTTGCCATCTATAACAATCCAGGCCTGAACTTTTGTTGAATTTAGGAAGCAATTTAATTAGCTTCATTACTCAAAATGCAAATTATGTTTTTAAATTTCAAATTCAAACATTAGGAAGCAATTGAATAAATTATGTGGCCGTTGCAACGGTCCCCTGCCATATACGATGTCTACCATTTTTATCATCTATGAATTGAAAAGGCATAACAGGGCAATTAAGCTAACTCTAGTATAAATCTGCTCAATTGTTCAAGCTATCCATCATTGTGTGTTTGCTAAACCACAGCCTTATTCAGGACAATAAGAAATATGGCTGCAGACCCTTCCCCAAGGATGCTAATCACTAATAAGGGACCATGTGTCTGCTACATTGCTTGGACTCCACGCTTGAATGGTTTCTGGAAGCTCAGCTTCACAGGTCATTACAAGTACGAATCAAAGACTGCCTCAGTCGGCTGCATTATGAGATATCACAATGCTGTATTAAAAGCAGCCTTTGCGCAACATGTAGGCATGGTCAGCAGCTTTACAAGGGCTCAGTCGACTGCATTCAGCCGGGCCCTTGAATTTGCTAAACGTGAAGGTGTCGATTACCTTGAAATCGAAGGAAATCATCCGTTTGTGTTTCGGATTATGTGGGGCGACGTCACCAGAACTAGCTCTGTGATCAGGGGGCTTGTTAATAAATGCAGATGTGATTTAAGACAGATTAGGAGTGTGAGGCTCCGACATGTCAACATGTATGGAAATTTGGCTGCAAACTTGCTTGCGAGAATTCCTCTGCAGCCTCAACAAGAGAGGTCTTGGTCCGGAAGAAATAAGTGGAATTCTAGTGAGGGATGTGATCGGTCGTTGGATCCCTTTCTCGGACCTATGAGTGAGTCATCATTTGGATGACACAGAAGGACTTTGTAGATTTCTTTCTTCAAGGAAAAATCTATTTAAGTTGCTTTTCTTTTTTGTTAAGTAGCAGTTTGCGCATCTTTTATTTTCAGACATGAAATATTTTAGATTAGTGATGATTGTGAAGCCTTTGATTTTTCTAATCTCTTCCTTAAAGAATTAAGATGTGCGAACATGTAATTACTAAGAACAAAAGTCATCTGCTTAATCTCACATTTAATTTTCCTTTACTTCCCTTGTAGTTTAATTGTATTCCCTGACCTTTCTGGTGCTAACCATGACCCCCATCTGTCAAAACCAAGTTCAAATAAGGGAGAATTTTTAAGGAGATATATTGATGACTTTTGGGGGGAGTTTTTTCTTAGTAAAACTTTTGTGGTTTTACTCAATTTGGAACCAATTACCAAATAGTTCTTAATCTAGCAGTACTTCTCTTCTCAATATTAAAAGAGAGCGGAAGTTTGAATCCACCTCCCTATTAACCAAAAAATGATTATTCGTGAGCTCCGACACTTTCTCAAGACTAGGCGTATGATATGCGAATTTACTTGCTAACAAAAATTTACTTGATTTTTTTAAGAACAAAAATGGAAATTAAAAACCCCAAAAAGCCAAAAAAAGAAAAAAAGGTTAGCTGAGAGATTATCTGGGAGTTAAAAGAACCAAGCAAGTGGGCCAAATCAATCATAGAAGATTATTTTGGGCCCGGGCCCGGGCCCGATATATCTAGAAAATTTTTGGCCGTTGGACATCATATTCAGATGTTAATATAGTCAAAAGACTTTAAGAAAACACTAACACCCAAGCCAACGGTAACTTTCTTGTCTCTGTCTTCTCCTTCCCCTTTCTGTCTTCCCCTTTGCTGCTCCAAATTCCAATTAAAACCCCAAAACCAAACTTCACCAACACAAAAGTTCTTAGCTTTACATCACAAATGGCATTAAAAGAAGCAGCTTCACTCACTTCACTGAAACAACAAGAACAACAAGAAGAAGAAGAAAGAGAGAGGTTCATAGTTTTGAGCAGCACTTGCAAAGTGGTGGAGTATTTGCAGCCAGTGATGTCAAAAGAGCTTCTCTGCAAGTTTCCAGACAACTCTGCTTTCGATTTTGACTACACTCAGAGCTCAATATGGTCCCCTTTGGTCCCTCGAGCTCATGCTCCTATGGATTTGGACTCGGATTTCGATTTCATGACGCCAAGGAAGCACAATTTCGAGATGGGGTTGAAGTTGGAAAGTCAAAGCAGCATCAAGAAAGTCAGTTCTAGTATTAAGAAGAAGATCTCCACCGCTGGATTTAATATTAGCAGGAGTGCTTTGAAGAACAAGATGATGAAGAGGAAAAAGAAGAAAAGCAAGATGGCATTGGCTTCTGATTTCTCTCCAACTCCTGTTAAGGTTCATTGTAACCCCTTAGCCTCAAAGGTACTGCCTTTATCATCTGGGTTCTGAGATCTTTCTGTTTTATTTATTTATTTTATATACATGTTTATTGAAAATTTCTTACTTTTTATAAGCTGAAAGAATCTGGGTTAGAGCAGAAGGTTTATATCACTGAATCTGAGATTACCCATTTGAGATTTTCTCTGAAAATTTTGGATTCTGGGAATTTCAGAAAGATGGATGACAATTTACAAGCTATTTGAAGTAAAAATATGAAATTTTTTGGGGAAAGAGATGAGAATTTAAAGCAACCCATAAGGATGCAGTTGTTAGCATCAAAGTTTTGGGAATTTGTTTTCTGTTTTGCAGGGGAAAAACTTAGAACTAAAATCAATCTGGTGACTGGATTTCTAACATATGAAGGTTTTGTAATTTGTGTTCAGGTATGGAATAAGGTGCTAAAAGCTGCCTCTAAACATTTCAAGAAAAAGAAGAGAGATCCCATGGACCATGTGAGGCTCTCCAATTATCTGAGAGATGGAAATATTTGAAGGCTTCCCCCATTTATAATTCTTTATTGTTTCATTATTTTGTTAAATTCATTTCATTGTCTTTGTAACCTGCATTCTCATTAACAGCAACATTAATAGTGCCACTTAGAATTTAGAAAGAGATTTAATCGTAGACATGGTTTAGCCAAGTTAATTAGAGCGAATGTACTCCCAACCCTACGTCTGAGTTTAAATCCCACTTCTCGTCATTTAAATTAGATTAAAGTTGAATGTGATTTGTACTCAAGCAAACCATGCATTCATAAAATTCTGCACTAAAATTGTGACCCTGCACACTAAATCAACTGCTTTAATTAAAGCTTGCCAACATAACCTCAATCAAGCTTTCAAATGAAGCAGATGAAGACCCCCCATCACCAACAGCCCTCCTACACACTCCACTCATCTCCTGCACCCTCTTCCTCAGCTCATCATCACCGTCCATCACACACCTCACAGCCCTCTCAATCTCATCAGCCACCACAAAATTATCTCCACCGTTCTTTCTGTAGTCCAATCTCAGCTCCACAGCCAGTCCCAAGTCCCTCACCATCTGAAACGCATTGATCTGCTGCTCCGCATACAGAGGCCAAGTCACAACAGGCACACCATGCCACAGGCTCTCCATTATTGAGTTCCAACCACAGTGTGACACGAAGCAACCCACCGCCCTGTGGGCCAGGATCTCCACCTGTGGGGCCCACCCACATAAAATCCCGACCCCACTGGTCCTCTCCAAGAACCCTTGAGGCAGAAACTCCTCGTGACTTGTGTGCTCCGCTGGCACCACAAACTCGCCCTTGGGCGGGTCTTTGCGTACGGACCACAAGAACCTCTGCCGACTCTGTTCTAAGCCAATAGCAATCTCTCTCAGCTGGGCCTCATCAAAGCTTCCAAAGCTCCCAAAGCAGAGGAGCACCACTGATTTTAAAGGCTGATCATCAAGCCACGTCATGATCTTGTCAAATTTGCTGTGATGATCAGACTGCTGCGCAGGATGCTCGCCAATCAGGGGCCCCACTGTGTAAACAGGAGGGGTTTCACCATCCGAAAGTGAACCAACCGCATGGGATTCGAGCTCAACAAATGTGTTGACGATTATACCCTTCGTTTCCTTGAACCTCCTGGCATGGTTTGCGAAGGAAATGTACCCTTCGCTGCTGAAAGCAAATGAAGGAATTACGCTTGCAGGAACAGGGTTGACATAACTCGGTACCACTGACTCGGAGTCCGATTCTTTAAACACCGTGCCGACTCGGTCGTAGAGGCTCGAAAGGTGGAGCAGGAAGCCGAGAAAGCCAGCACCAGAAGTGAAGAACAGAAATGATGGAACCTTGAGTTCGTTGGCCACGTCGATCATGGTGGTGCAGAACATATCAACCACTAGACCAGAAACAGAGCAACTGGGCAAGACATGGCTGGCAATGGCTTCTCTCACATGGTTCTTGTAGCCCTCTATGTAGACTGTGATGTATTTTTCACGAGACTGTTGAAGAAGCTCAAGTGGGCGGTTCACAGTGGGAAGGTCTATGATTTTGATGTGGCCGTGGGAGGCAGCAAGCGGTTGTGCGCTGGTGTTTGAGTTCAGAGTAGCAGAGGGTTCAAATGGCGGTTTCATGACGAGAATTGTGATTGAGAATCGATCACAGCCGTCCAATAATCGTTTCGAAAACTCTATTGCTGATACAAGATGGCCAACGGCCGGTGTGGGAACGAAAACCAGCTCTGCTCTCTTCATGTTTTATGCTGCTTTGTTTTTTTCACTCTGTGTCTTTCTTGATGGTGCATGTTTGATATGTACTGAGAGCACTTGAGAGTGGATGAAGGATTGATGCACGTCTTTCAATTTTATGAGAATAAAAAAAATTTCCTTGTCAATTTTATGAGAGAGAAAAATTCCCAATGATAATGAGGCATGTAATGTAATGAATCTTAGAGTTTAAGATTCTAGTTGGAGGAACCATTGGTCCATTGATTCATCTGATATGATGGTGGAAACCATCTCAAACCCATCACAAGGGAAAGTCATAACTCCAAGTCTGACTTAGCAAAAAGCAAAGAAAGAGTGGATGATGACGTGGTGATTCCATCACGGAGTCTAAAGCAAAAGAGGAATTCATGTAATTACTCAAAAGGGTAATTGCAAGCCTCTGTAAGAAGATCACGACAAAGCAAATCATCATCGTGGTTGGAAATTTATGTCTTGCACGTCAAAGAAAACAAAGCTAGCCTTATGAAGGAGAAAACTAGAAGAGGGATGTGGTGGAAGCCACTACATGAAAGTCCAAAAAGAGAAGAAACAAAGCAAGATTGACTTCTTCCTCTCTTGGCATGCGGCAAGCTAACAGGTCCTTGAAATCAAGGACTCACCTCAATGCCATCAGGAAGGGATTTTACAAGCCAATGTTGTTGACTGAAAATCCAAGAAGGCCCACCACGTGATTGTTAGTGTTTAATAAGCTTTTTGATAAAAATGGAGGAATGAGTATATTGAAGAAGAGAGTGAAGGAAATAAAATGCTCTGTAAAGCCTTTTGTATTTCGTTGGGTATATCAGGAGCTGTTTCACTCACAGCTCATATTACTGTTAGAAGAGAGAGAGAGAGCTAGACAAATCCTAGCTTCAATCTCAACCATCCAACTACACTATTAGTAAGATTATGACACCTGTCCAGTCAAGTCCTATGAGACTTAACAAACCGTTTGACTATTATAGACAGCTTAGCCTATGAGCTAAGTATAACACTAAACCAGCAATTACATACTAAATCAGTTTACCATTTTGCACATTAACACTCCCCTTCAAATTGTGAACTGATTTCACCCCAAGCAATTCTCTGAGATAAGAGAATTGTTCTCTTGCCAAAGCCTTAGTGAAGATGTCAGCTACTTGCTCCTTTGTAGGACAATGAATCAAGTTGATTACACCCTGTTGTAGAGCTTCTTTGATGTAGTGATACCTCCGGTTTATGTGTTTGGTTTTCTGATGAAAGATCGGATTCTTGGTGATAGCAATGGCTGAGGTGTTATCACAGTTTAGGGGTGTTGCCACAGTCTGCATTTCACCAAAATCTTCTAACACAAACCGTAACCAAGTAGCTTGTGCAGTTGCCTCTGATGCACTCACATATTCTGCTTCAGCTGTGGATAGAGCAACACATTGTTGCTTCACGGATGCCCAAGAGAATACTCCACTACCGAATGTAAAG